CAGTGGTGTGATCACAGCTCACAGCAACCTCGACCTCCTGGGCTCAAGTGATCCTTCCACCTCAGCCTCCCGAGTAGCTGGGACTGCTCACCTGTCTAATTTTTTTTTTTTTTTTGAGTTGGAGTCTCACTCTGTTGCCCAGGCTGAAGTGAAGTGGCACGCTCATGGCCACCATATCCTCGACCTGCTGGGCTCCGGCGATCCTTCCGCCTCAGCCTTCCAAGTAACTGGAATTACAGGCGCTGCTACCACGCCTGGCTAATTTTTTGATTTATTGTAGAGATGAGGTCTCACCAAGTTGCCCAGGTGGGTCTCAAACCCGCAGGCTCAGGCAATCCACTGGCCTCGGTGCCCTGTGCTTTGGCCTCCCAAAGTGCTGGAATTTCAGACTGAGCCTCCAAGCCTGGCCCTGGCTAATTTATTTTATTTTATTTTATTTTTTGTACAGACAAGTTTTCACTCTGTTGCCCAGGCTGGCCTCGAACCCCTGGGCTCAAGCAATACTCCTGCCTTGGTCTCCCAAAGTGCTGGGATTCCAGGCGTGAGTCACCACACCCGACCCACAAAGCCCCTTTAATCACCTCAGTCCATTCTGGCCACCCCTTGTAAGGAATGTAGTCAGCCCCACCTTGTAGAGGAAGAACCCAAAGCCCGGAACAGCTGGGATGACCAGAGGAGGAGAAGGTTCCTCCTGCACGTCAGGAAGGCCCAGGGGTGGGAGCCCGTCTGCAGGCAGGAAGGGAGGGGTGTTTCCCCAGAAGGGAGGGCCGTGAGCTTGAGAGGGAAGGAGCCGCTGTGGGCCATGTGACAGGGTGTGGCTGCCCAAGGGGGATGGAGAGGTGGTCTGGGGTGGGGCCGAGGGGCTGGAGGCCAACAATACCATTCTCTCTAGAGGGGTGCAAAGATGGATGAAAAGATGGCCGCTGCCAGACCCTGGCCCCTGGACTCTCGGTGGAGCTGGGGCAGGGCTAGGCTCTGAGGAGTCAGCAAGCCAATTGTAAGACAGTGTGACAGTGTCACGTGGGGGTGAGGGGTCCGGCCTGTTCCTAAGAGGAAGGTGGGGTGGACGGGGCTGTTAGGAAGGGCTTCAGAGAGGAGGTGACTTTGCCGGGTCTAGAAAGACAAGTTGGATTTTGCCTGTCAGGAGACCTGGAGTGACACCTGATGGGGCGATTTTAGGGAGCAGCACTTTGGGGGGAGGGCTGTTGAGAAAGGAGGGTGGGGCAATGTAAGGAGGGCTGGCACTGGATCTCTGAGGGCTGGGGAGTGTGTTCCTGCCCAGGGGAAGAGGAATGCACGGATTCAGGAGCCAGGCACGTGCCCTGTGCACAGCCTGCCGGTGACAGAGCCCTTAGCTACATGCCTTGGACCTGGTCCTGCAGGCCACAGCGACACAGAAGGTTTTTAAAGGAGGAGCAGCATGTGCATTTTAAGAATGTTTTGCATCTTTTGAAAGAGGCCCTCCCAGAATGGTGAACGCTTAACCCGGGGGGCCTGAATCACCAGCTGGGAAATGGGGCCATGTGGGTGGGGGAAGAAGGAGGCTCCCTGGGGCCGCCTGTCATTCCATCCATGTGAGGGGGCCGCTGGCACTCCATCACACCTGGCTGGGCTGGCGGCCCAACCACAGGCAGGAGGAGCCCCTGCAGTGCCTCGTGCCCCTGCTGGAGGAGGCACCCGCCTGCCCTGGAAGCCCCCAGGAGGGAGGCTGTGCCCACCCCCACGCCCACTGTGGTTGTTGGAGGGCCCCACTCCTTGCCCCCGGGGAGGAGAGGCAGGGGAGGTGCTTTGTGGTGGCCCCAGACCAGGAAGTAGCCTCTGCCCGCCCCCCTCTGAGACATTTCCTCCAGATGAAATCACATCCCCAGCAGGGGAACAGGCCCCCATTGTGATGGGCTGGGGTCTCCAGAGAAAGGGTGCCTTTCAGGCCCTTAAAAATAGCAGCCCTGGGATTTATGAATTGGCACAGAGATTGGAATGGCCTCCCCAATCCCCACCCCCCCATGTAGCACAGGCCTTGCCACCCCCACCCCAGACCATGACCTGTTGGTGACCAGCTGGAGAATCCGCTAGCACAGGCGGGGAGGGGCAGCTGGTCTGGCAGGGGGTTCCGTGCACTCCTTCCCCTCGCCCGCCCCGCGGAGAGGGGCTTTGGCATTTACCCAGTACGCCTAGGGCCTCTGCAGACCTCCTCTCCGGTGCTCCTCACCAGAACTTTAGGATCTCTTACAAATGAGGACACTGAGGCACAACGAGTAAGTCACACAGTTGATGGGTGGTAGAGCCCAGGCTCAAAGCCAGGCAGCCTAGGTCTGGGCTCCCAACACTGTGCCTAGGACCGTGTTTGGGGGGCTGGCCCCAGATGCAGGCCTGTCACAGGGCACCTGGTGGAGTCAGCCCGCAGCAGCCCCGCTGTGTGGTCGAGGTGGACAATGATGCCCACCTTGGTGACTGGCCTCAGGCTGATCGCCCCTGGGCTGGGGGCAGAGGCTGCCACTGGCTGGATCCCTCCCGTGTCTCGACAGCCCTGTGGCCACCACTGCAGTGTCCGAGTCAGCTCAGCTC